AAGTAAAGCAAGAAATTATAAAAGATACAAAGCAGAAAGTGGAAGAAATGAAAGAATTTGTAACAAGAATACCAGTAAAAGAAGAGACGGCAAAAGATACAAAGAAGAAAGTACAAGAAGTGAAAGAATTAGTTGCGGAATCAAAAGTAGAAAAAGAAACGATTAAAGATAAGGATTCACTGGATGTTAAAGAATCAAAAGATTCGAAAGAAAAGAAGAAAAAAGTCGAAGACATATCAGAAATGAAAGTGGAAGTAAAATTGTTAAAGGATGAGGAAGAAATGAAGAAACCTCTACCAGATATCCATGTACAACCAGAAATGATAAAAGGCGCGAAGGACGCTAAAGAAGTACATGATTCTGTTATAGAAGCAAGTATAGAACAGGGAGTTCCAAGAGATGTAACAGAAAAACTTAAAGAATATGATACAGTAAGTGTACAAAAAGAAAGTACTGGAGGGTTAAAAATTCAGACTGAAGATATCGTTAAAGAAGTATCTAGTGGGAGGCGGATTATAACAGAAGAAACAACTATAATTTATAAGGTACAAAAAGATGGTACGTTGGTCCAGGAACAAGTATTAAAATCTGTTCAAATAGGTGAAGCAAACGGTGAGGGAATCGTGTCTGGAGTTCCTACAGAAACGGTGGAGACGAAAATATTCGAAACGAGTACTTCCAAAGATTCGTACGAGATACAACCCGATGCCATTTCTTCGTCGGAAGAAATACAGCAATTTCTCGAAGGAAAAAGACTCGAAATTGAAACGATGGGACAAATAGCGCCAATCGAGCAGGGACGAAGCGTCGAAATGTTGGTGAAATTACCTCTCGTTCAAGGTGTAATCACGAAAGAAGAAATGGAATCAAAGCAGGCAGGAAAGGAAGACGAAGGGACGTCAACTGTCAAAGAAGAACCAGAAATCGATACGAAACTCGTTAAGAAGGAGTTCGAGTCTCGCATTCCGATCTCTATGTCAAAAGCAGATAAAGATAAAGTTCAAAAAGAAACTAAAGTCAAATCTCCCGTGGAATCGAAGCAAGTTCCGAGCAAACCGGAAATCGTCAAGGACTCAAGCTCCGAATCGCTGCACACAGTTTCACCGACAGGCAAAAAGAAGGAATTCGAATCTCGAATTCCGAAACGAGTGGTGGACGTTAAGTCGACGTCAGAGAAACCAGGGCAAAAAGATACGCACGTGAAGAAAGAAAGCGAAACGTTCACCACGATAACGGAGAAGAAGCTGAGCGAAGAGGTTACTTCAAAATTAGAAGAGCATTCGACTACCAAAAGCGAAAGACAGACGTTTTCGAAAACTTTCACAGATCCCAAGGAAGCGTTTGAAATGTTCAGTGACATGGGCAGCGCGAAGAACGATTTCGCCACTGTCACTTCGAAAGTCGATCACAAGAGTTCCAGCGTGTTGGAGAAGAAAGAAGTAATCTCTTCGGAGATTTGCAGCGGCACGGATAAATTAATCACTCTGGAGGAGAAAGAACGCGTGGAGAAGAAGAAGTCCTCGGAATCTCAATTGAAGAAGGAATCGCCGACCGAGACGGTGGAAGAGAAGAAAACGAAAACCGAAGAGTTGGATAAAACCGCGATTCAAAAGATGTCGATGAACGTGACCGATAAACAGGAGGTGATAGACGCAACCGCGGCCGAGTCGAGAGCCGAAACTAAAAAGGAAGAAACGTTTAAAAAGCTCTCCGACGAGAAAGGAATCTTGACTCGCGAAGCAGGGGACAGTACTGTAAGGGAAAGCGACGCAAAAGTCGCGATTCGAATCAAGAAGGACATTCCGGAAGAGGCAAAAGTGATAATAGATGAGACTGCGGAGGAGGGAGTGTTCAAACCTGTCGCAGATTTCGATAACGTCGAGAAGATCGTTCACGGAGAATCGCATAAGGAGACCAAGGAAAGTTTCGAAGTCAACAAATTTGTGCCATCCGAAAAAATGACGAAAATGGAAGACTCGTCGAAGAAAGACGCGCAAGAGGAAAAACGAGAGAGCTTGGAGGAACATCAACGTCAAAAGATGAAAGAAATCGAGGCGCGTTCGTTAGCCGAAACCTTGATTAAATCCATCGAAAGTGAAATCGAGACAAAGTCGACAGCGGATTTGAAAACGGAATTGCTTAGCAAGGGTTACTTGGATCAGATCACGCGAGATGGGATTGAAACCGATCACGAGAAGTTGGCCGACGATTTGACGCGTAAATTCGAAAGCATAATGAAGAAATCCGCGAGTAAGCAAACGGATAGATTCATGGATCAAAATGTGGCCGAGTTACCGAGATCGAGAACGTCGATACAAGAAGAGCTGTACGAAAAAGGATCCACCAGGGACAGTATAAGCGTCAGTGAAGATATAACCAAAGACGAAGAGTCGTCTCTGCAAGAGAAAGAAGAGAGCTTCCCTTTATCGTCGTCGCAGCTCAGGCTGCAAGATAGAAACATCACTCTGAGTCCTAGCAGCATGTCAGAGCAAATCGATTTCGAGGAAACCATCGACGTTGACACGAACGAGTTAGAAGACATATCGAAATCGACCTTGAGCCCGCAATTGGAGAAACAACAATGGGACAAATACGATAGTCAAGCGGAACTGCAACGCGATTTCCAAAGCGACGACGGTTTTCCGCGGGATGCCAGAGTTCTAGAAATTCTCGAGCCTGGCGTAGGGAGCCAATCCAGACAGGATTCCGTAGACGTGCCTTCCTTGGAAATGGACGAACACAAGATATCCGAGCAAACCAGCAGAGGGATCTCGTCTCTGCGCGAAAGCGCAGGCACAGATTCGTTCGACAGAATACTCCAAGAACGAGATATAACCATCAGTCCCAGCACCGTATCGGAAGACACGAACGTCGATTCTTCTTTGGTACAAGAACCAGCGGCGTCCGTCGTAACACAAAAGGACCACGAACCTTTGAGTATGAAAAGGGCGGACAGCTTCGAATACGAAAGTCCTCCGATAATGTCTCCAAAGACGAAGGCCCAAGGTCTCGAGATTAAATCCGTGAATTGGATGATCGGCGAGGAGAAGATCGAGATATCGGAGACACTCCAACCTTCTCAAATTTTTAATCAAGAATTGGAAGCGTACGAATCGATGCGGAAGAAGGAATGTTTATCTTCGCAGGATGGATCCACCGACTACGATCAAGAATCGGTTACGAAATCGTCCGAGGACGTCAGCGTGATCGAGTCCATCAAGGAAACCGGCACGGACGACGACCGCGTGACGCCATCGGTCGGTAGGAGTACCAAATTCACGGTGATTCCGATAAGCGAGCAAGACTTTGATAGCGAATTAGTAGAAAATAAATTAGACGTTAGCTGCCAGGAATTGGTCGATACTCTGCAACGCGAATACGACGCGAAAACTCCTAACAAAGAATACGTGGAGAGTATCCAACAAAATATACCCGAGCAAATCGAGGTATCGGAGACGAGAGAGGAGGAAGTAGGAGGATCTCTCAAAGTAGAAGAACATCC